ACAGTACCTGCCAACGAAATTTCAGTCGAGGGTAGGGAGCGGACGCCTAGAGTGATCCTTTCTGACTGGGGCTTAATTGTATACATACATACATACATACATTACATACATACATACATACATAGGTATTTCTCACGATCACCTCTATAGAATCTCAGATAAGGAACCCCCATAATCACCCTACATTACCATACATCTCTGGGGTCCCGTGGGGCACCTTTTTCGAGAAATGCCACATAGCAGTACATCATCCCCATCAACCCATATAGATGGGCAACCTTCTCAAAATAAGCCCCTGATTTTGGGATCCCCCCATTTGTTGGAGGTTCAAGGCCCTATGGACTTGTCTCTGCACGTCAAGGCTGGATGCAACCTGCAGGAGATGTGTTAGGTTGTCAGCAATCCAACCCCAAACTTGACCCCAAACGTTTGGAAACCCCAGACACTTTGAGGGCTACTAATTTGCTTGGAAGCCATCCCTTTGTGACGCTCAAATTTCAAGTACTATAGTATATAGGGGTTATTTTAGGGATAAGGGTTTAGGGTTTCGCAAAATTAGGGGTACTTCATTGGGGGTCCCCAGGATTGTAGTATTTGGGGGTCTATATTGGGTCCCCCGATTTTGGGAAACTACCATATGTGGCGCGCGATGTGGTTGAATGACCAGTTTAATGATGCCTTTCACACACACAGAAGGACAGGATCCGGCAGCAAACGCTGACGGTCTCCAGGGATTCCCATATCATATCAGTGTCGTTCGTGATCTCAGGTCGCCTGTAGACCGAAGGCTTCTTGCATGTTCATGTCGATGCGTTTTCGGCTCTGGCGGTTGAAGCAGGTATTGGAAAAATGTAGCGCTGAGGCCAGCTGATCTGCATCCCGCATGCAGCCAGACGCTGTAATCTGCGATTGGTCGTTGCTAGTCATAGAAGCATTATGACCATCTATTTTGAAGTGGCTCTCATCAGCGGCAAGCGAGCCCGGCTGAGCGCTGAACTGGACACCTCCGTCGACAAGCTCAGAAAGAAGGCACAGAAGCTGCTTTGTGCTGGCCGGGGTTGTTTGCTCAGCAGCTCAGGAGGCATTCTGGGAGGAGGAATGAGTGTCAGCCAAGCCGGCCTTCAAAAAGGGGATATTTTGACTCGAGGTACTCTAGCAGTACCCTTTTTCCCTTTTTATTTGAGGTTTCCGTATTAAAGCAGAACAGTAGGAAATAGGGTTTCCCTTCTAGTTAGGGGTCACTGAGGACTCTGCTGATTCGGGACGTACACATAGCGGCATCGGAGCGGGCAGCTGGGTTGCCGTCAAGGATCTTGAATCATGATACCATCACAGGGAAGCCCTGCTTTTTTTTTTTTTTTTAATATTCATCTTGCGTTTGTTAGTTCCTTGAATCTATGGAACATCTACATAACCCCAGTTTCCATTTCATTCTACATGGATTCCGTTTGATTTCTTTAAGCTTCAGCAAGTTGATTTCAGCCCAGGCATTTGCGGCTGTTCTGGGGGATGGCTCGGTTCAAGCTTGGGGAAGTTGCCAGTATGGCGGTGATTGCAGCGCAGTCCAAAGTCAGCTGAAGAAAGTCCGCAGCATCCACGCATCTCACGAGGCTTTTGCAGCACTGTTGGAGAATGGCTCTGTTGTGACTTGGGGTCACCCCCGCTATGGGGGGGATAGCAGCAGCGTTTCGGGCTTCAAGGATGTTCAGCAGATTCAGGCAACACATGGTGCCTTTGCTGCTATCTGCGGAGATGGTTCCGTGGTGGCTGGGTCTGTTTGGCATTTGAGTTGTGCTTCAAAAATCGGTACTCCACACTCAGGTATGGTGGAGAACAAGCTTGAGCTAGGATCTAATCTAACCCTTTCATGGAGCCCTATATCCGTTTATGGAGGAATATATCTCATATCATACTACCACAGGGATCTTAGGACCCTTTTGGGGTATTTCCCTTGCTTGAGCCCTCTCCCTGTAATCCCGCGTATAAACCAAGCTGCGGTTTAAGTTTCCATTGTCTTTTGCATGTGATTCTCCGTTTTGGGTATCGGGTACTGCCTCCACACAGCAACAGTTGATAATAGAGGTGATATCAAGGCTATCAAGGGCCGCATATTTTAGAGTGGTATTTGCTGTCCACCTGTCACTGAGTGAAGGCCCTATCCAATGTGTGTTTTGGGTACGGCTCTCACTCTGTAACAGTTGGATACTATCTATAATGTATTTACATATAATATGAACTCTAATATGGTCTGTTACAGGGTGGGGGTAGTACCCAGAGTATATTCTTAAACTAACTTAAGCTGCTTAGGCTCTCAACCCTCAACCCTAAACCCTAAATCCTTAACCCTAAACCCTGCATCCTAAACCCTAAATCCTTGACCCTTAACCCTAAATCCTAAGCCCTGAACCCTAAATCTCAAACCCAAACTCCTAAACCCTACATCCTAAACCCTAAGCCCAAGGCGTGTTGGGTTCTCTTTGCGCAAAGCTTGCGATGAGGGGGGAGTTCCTTGAAATATCCAAAGTAAAATCCTCCTTCTAGTCATGACCCTCAACCTAGAGTTTAGGGTTTATTCGGGTTTAGCCTAAATATCGAAAATCCCCCACTCACAAAGTTGTACTATAATGTGATGATGCTTATTCGGCGTTTCATTCCTGATAAGGCCGCCCATCATCCCCTTCTCTCCATATATGGCTTTTTGGGTCCTGTCATAGATCGGCACGGACATGTCAAGGGCACCCCAAACGAAACCCTAAACCCTAAGCCATAAACCCTAAACACCCCAAACGAAACCATGATTTCGACCACTTACCTTGTCATCGTGATCCATCCCGGGGGTTGTAGTCCGCTGAACCCTACAGCCTCCCTGGGGTTTGCAGTGCCCCCCCCCTAAACCCTAAGTGGCAGTTTTCCTAAATGGGGGGACCCCAATATAGACCCCAAAATATTATGATCCTTATCATGGGCACCCCCTAAAAAGGTATCCCTAATTTAGGGAAATCCTTAAATTGTGTCAAGTAGGTCATCCCCCCGATAGGACCTTATAAGTAACCTTTAGGTTCCCTTCTACGTACCGTCTAAGTGCCCTTCTTAGATAGTCCTATCTAGGGTCCCCTAGGAATGTTCCCTTTACTTTGGGTACTGCCCCCCCCTCACTAACAGTTGGATAATACTTATAATATGGAAAACACGCACTTAATAGGACACCTAATATAGACTGTTATTGGGGGGGGGCAGTACCCAACCTTTAGTTCAAGAAAGTCTCAGGTAGCTTGGGGTGATCCACAGTACGGCGGTGACAGCAGAGCTGTGAACCTGCGGCTCCGTGCTGTTCAGCAGGTCCAGCGCTCTTTAGGATTCAGGGTTTGGGGGTTTAGGGTGTAGGGTTTAGGGGTGTATCCAAATTTTGTATAGGGTCCAGTTCGGAAATTTTGACCGAATTTTGTGTGGGTCCTGTGAGACTTTTTCGTTTTCCTTTTGCCCCATACCATTTGGATTCAACTCTTCTTGAGTTTCGGGTTTAAGGTTCAGGACATCATTATGGAACCCCCTTCCACCTATATAGTCCGACCATATGGGAGTCCCTACCAGAAGGGTCAAAGTATTGGAACATGTTTTGGACCCCCCCCCCCCAGTGCATGGAAATTACCATGCAGCCTCATATATGATGTTGGAAAATACCCTAAACCCTACGTAGTAGTTCCCATTTTCTTTTCCATTATCCAAATATAACACCAAAAAACCCAATATATCCCCCTACATAACCCCGTATAAATACACATATATGGGATATATGGGCGGTGGGGAGGTTACAGGATTACTGGGGGTGCCATCAATGCGGCCTGCTGCTGCTGCTGTTGCTCTGGCGTGGCTTCCGCTTCTTCTGCTGCAGCTGCCGCTCCTACTAACGTCGTTAGTGCTTGCTCTTGCTCTTGCCCTTGCTGCTGCTGCTGCTGCTGCTGCTGCTGCTGCTGCTGCTCGCTTGTTGCCTTCATCATACTGTTACTTCTCCTGCTGCTTCTGCAAGTGCTGCTGCCATTACCATTGCCACTGCCACTGCCACTGCCACTGACACTCCCACTGCCACGGCGACGGCGAGTGCCACCGCCACCCCCACCGCCAGAACCACAGCAAGCAAGCAAGACTTCATTCCAAACTTCCCCCCTTCCTCCAAAGTATTCTGATCCTTTTTGTAAGGAGCCCTTACAAGTGGATTGTGAATTGGGAACCTCCGCTTATGACAGTTTCCTAAGACCTAAACCTGAACCCTAAACCCTAAACCCCAAACGCTAAACCCTGAACAGGTTCAAGCTTCTAGCTCCGCCTTTGCTGCGATCTTGGCCGATGGCTCTGTGGTCACTTGGGGGAATCCTAAATTTGGCGGTGACTGCTCTTGTGTGCAACCAGGGGCTCAGGCAGCAAATTGTTTTGTTTTTTTCTCCGGCTTTTTTCGTAGGAGAGTTGAGTCTGCACGCTTTTTTTTTGGAAGTAGCTCGTCTGGATTTAGGCAGGGGACGCTCAAGAATGTGCAGTACATTCAATCTTCTGGAGCTGCATTTTCGGCTGTGCTTGTTGACGGATCCGTTGTGACTTGGGGTCATCCCGCTTACGGGGGTGACAGCCGCCGTGCACGGCTTCAGCTGCAAAATGTGCAGCAGATCCAGGCCACGGGAGCAGCCTTCGCCGCAATCCGCTCTGATGGCTTCGTGGTGACCTGGGGCCATCCATCGGCTGGTGGTGTTAGTGACCACATGCGGGACTGCTTCAGGGATGTGCGTCAGATCCAGGCCGCACAGGAAGCCTTTGCGGCTTTGCAGGGCGATGGCTCTGTGGTGACTTGGGGGCATGCCGCGCACGGCGGTGACAGCTCCGCTGTGCAAAGAGAGCTCAAGGAAGTTCAGCAGATCTCTGCCTCCAGCGCAGCCTTTGCCGCATTGCGGAGTGATGGCTCTGTGGTGACTTGGGGCTGTCCGCTGTGCGGCGGTGATAGCAGCGCTGTGGAGCTGAGGGGCATCATACAGATCCAGGCCACCGGGGCAGCATTCGCCGCCCTCTCAGATGATGGATCTGTGGTGACCTGGGGTGCCCCTCATGCCGGTGGTGATAGTAGCGCAGTCCAAGCGCAGCTCAAGGGTGTGCAGAAGCTCCAAGCTACCCGCGGAGCCTTTGCTGCAATCCTCACCGAGAATCGTATCGTGGCATGGGGGGGTGACAGCTGCGGAGGTGATACTACTGTTGACATCAAAAATCCTGCATGACTTTATTCTATTGTAGTACCATAATTGCCAAGGATTTAGCGTACTTTGGGTCATGCAAGATTTTTAGTATCCAGGGTAGCCTTACTTTGGCTCAGGAGCCCTTGTGCACCGAGCGTGCAGCGTTTAATTCCTGAATTGCTTGTAGTGTTCCTGAAGATCAGTTCGAACACGAATTCAACATTAGTTAGCGTACCATACTTATCGGAGATTTCTGAGGAGATGTTTTTGGGAATCCCAACACCCAGATTAGGACCCTCTAACTATTCATAAGGGGACCTTATTCCGAAGGTAAGGGTAGCCGAAACCCTCCTCCTATTTTCGTTCCTGCTGGACATGCCAGCCAAAGTTCCTTTAAGCTTACCATGGAGCCACCACAGGCCCCGTCTCACTGACAAAGGTCACAGTGACTAGGATGGTGCAGACGCACCTGCAGATCCCTTACTGGTTGTTAGTAGGGAATGGAGGAATGGATCCCCACAGTAGCCCCACGTAATCCCCAATGATATGGTAGTTCCCATGTCCCTTAGCTCTTAACCCTGAACTGTATTTTTCATATTCTTTTCAATTCCTTCATTCCCTACTGGCAACTAGCAAGATTCGTTCGCACTCGTTCCCAGCGACTCCCATCCCAAAAGCCAGCAACGAATTGCTGAAACAGATTCTGCTTGTGCGGTGGATTTAGGGTGTACAGGGTTTAGGGCCTAGGGTGCTGGTAAGTGTAATGACGGTAGTTGCGGAGTAGTAGCAGTAACAGTAACGATAACAATGGGTAACAGCCTCCGTAAGAGTAATTGCAATAGTGAGAGTCAAAGTAAGAGTAATAGCCACAGCAATAGGAGTAGTAAAAATAGCAACAGTAGCAATAATGATAATCGTAGTAG